AAGGAGTGATCAGTGATTACACTATCGAGTACCATTATTTGAGTGTTTAATACTGTTTTCACCATAACATGGTCTAAACAATTATTGATACGGGTGGGATAGGTATGACCTGGTAAAAGACCTAATCCTGCAGTTAAATTTAAATAAGGCTCACAGTCTTTGTCTTTATTGCCTTGAATAATATTTATATTGAAATCGCCCATAATAAATATGTTACTAGATTTTAAGGGACGAATAATTTTTTCTACAGAATCTAAAAAGTTGTCAATATAATAATAGGAGGGTGATCTATATACCGCTAATATTACTATATCTGGATTTATTTTAATCAAAAGATAGTTACCACCATTTGAATCAGGTTCTGTTATTATACAATCAATTGAGTGTTTATTATATTTTTATTTATCGAAGCAAGCAAGCGCCTGAGATTTCAGTTTCATTATCAGTTCAAATATTCATTAACAATACAATCGGATGTTTACCCAGAAGTCTATTGACGGCTGCATTTTGCTAAGCTTTTCTTTACCTGCGATTCCGTGTTATCGTAGTTAGATAAAATACCTTTAGAAATACGTACATAAGTATTTTCCGTCAAAAGAATTTTCTCAGGGCAAAAAGTACATTCTAAGTTAGTATTAGTGTAAAGCAAAGATTACCGGTCACGCTTTCTAAATAATAATAATAATACTCTGATATTGCAGCTATAGATGCAGAATCAAAATTATTTAAAATTTAGAATTTTGTACAACCGACTTCAATATAAATTATGAAGAATAATTCAAAAACTTTTCATCAGACCATAACATGGGACCGCATGTGAAGCACCAGCTTTCAAATAAAAAAAGAATCATCGAATTCGGTTCACCCAGAAAAAAGTTATGAGGTAACACACATGAATAAAATATACAGTCGAATTGAGTACCTCCTCCTTTCTAAATCGGTAGAATAAAAAATAAAAAATAACTCATTCATCATCATTCATCATTATAGCCCTTCACAAGTCCACTGCTGAACATAGGCCTCCCCCAAAGAATGCCACAAAGCACGGTCCTGAGCCACCTGCATCCATCGACTTCCTGCATGTCTGAGCAGGTCGTCACTCCATCTCGTGGGGGGACGTCCTATACTTCGCCTACCGGTAAGAGGCTGCCACTCGAGAACCTTTCTTCCCCATCGGTTGTCGGTTCTTCGAGCTATATGGCCGGCCCACTGCCATATACTAATCCGTTGGGCTATGTCGGTTACTCTGGTTCTACTTCGGATATACTCATTCCTAAGTTTATCACGCAGAGAAACTCCGAGCATAGCCCTCTCCATAGCTCGCTGAGCGACCTTGAGCTTCCTCATACGGCCAGCAGTGACGGACCACGTCTCAGTTCCGTAAGTCATCACTGGCAACACGCACTGGTTGTACAATTTCGTTTTCAGGTTTTGAGGTATGTCTGACGAGAAGATGTGTCGTAGCTTCCCGAACGCTGCCCAGCCGAGTTGAATCCGTCGATTGACCTCTCGGTCGAAGTTGGACTTACCTAATCGGACTATTTGTCCCAGGTAAACATACTCGTCAACAACTTCGAGCTTAGTGCTCCCAACAACTACCGGCATAGGTGTGACATGGACATTGAACATGATCTTTGTTTTGTCCATGTTCATCTTAAGACCTATCCGTTGGGAAACACTATCGAGGTCATTGAGCATAGTGCTTAGGTCCTCCAGCGATTCTGCCATAAGGACTATATCGTCGGCAAATCGAAGGTGAGTGATGTACTCGCCATTGATGTTGATACCGTATCCTTTCCAGTCCAGAAGCTTGAAAACGTCTTCCAATGCAGCGGTGAAGAGTTTCGGGGATATGACGTCACCCTGTCTTACACCTCTCTGCAATTGGATAGGTTTCGTACTCTGATTCTGTACTCGGATAGCCATCGTAGCCCTACTGTACAAGCACTTCAACACTTCGATATACCGACAGTCAACTTGGCACCGCTGAAGGGACTGCAGCACCGCCAAAATTTCGACGGAATCAAAGGCTTTCTCATAGTCCACATACGCCAGACATAGTGGCAAATTGTACTCTTCGGACTTCTGTACAATTTGCCGAAGTGTATGTATGTGGTCTATGGTAGTAAAGCCTTTTCGGAAACCGGCTTGTTCGGGAGGCTGGAAGTCGTCAAGTCTGCGCGCGAGACGATTCGTAATGACTCTCGAAAACAACACGTAGACGCGGCTCAGTAGGGAAATCGGTCTGTAGTTCTTCAAGAGAGCGTTGTCACCTTTCTTGAAGAACAAGACCACCGCACTTCTGCTCCACGCCTCCGGTGTAATGCCACCATGGAGGACGGAATTAAAGAGCTTCTGAAGGACTTCAAGTACCGGTCTTCCACCCGCTTTCAGAAGCTCCGCTGTAATTCCATCCTCGCCTGGGGCCTTACCGTTTTTAAGGTGCTGGAGAGCCATTCTAATCTCGCTCAGACTGACGTCCGGGATATCTTCGGAATAGTGTCGGATGAGACTCGCTCTTGGATCGTTACTCACACTTGCGTGTGGCTCCAACGATGACGTGTACAGCTGCCCATAGAACCTCTCAATCTCACTCAAAATCTCAGGTGTCCCGGAAACGATGCTGCCACATTTTGTCTTCAGCTTTGACAGTTGGCTCTTTCTGGCAGACAGATCTCTGGCAAAGACTTTGGAGCCTTGGTTCCGCTCGATCGCTTCTTCAATACGAGCTGTATTGAAGTTGCGTAAGTCCCGCCGCATGCATTTGGAGATCTGTCTGTTCAGATGCCTGTATGCTGTCAAGGCTGTTGAAGAATGTAGCTTCATCTCCCGTCTAACAGCCATGAGATTAAGAGTGTGATCGGAGAGTTTTTGTGTTCTTCTGCGGCGGGTCTTGCAGAACTTAGCTCCGACCGCATGGACAGTTTCCACGAGCTTGTCATTCATATGGTCCACTTCATTGCAGTCTTCTAGGCACTGAAAACGGTTTTGTAACTCGAGCTGAAAGGTTTCGGGACTTTGGAACAGAGCACGAGGGGGACGGAGCGTTGACTTCATTAGACGGGACCTCTCCAACTTAACGTTTAGGTTCAGTGTGCCTCTAACCATTCGGTGATCGCTACCAGTTTTCACCCTCGCGATCACGGAGACATCACTGAACAGTTGTCGTCTGGTCGTCATAATGAAGTCAATCTCATTTTTTGTCGAACCGTCGGGGCTCGACCAGGTCCACTTCCTGTGGGGCCGCTTCTGGAAGAAAGAGTTCATCATAAAGAGTCCCTCTTTCTCCATGAAGTCGGCCAGCTGCTGGCCCCTTGGGTTCCGATGCCCTATTCCAAATTTCCCTACTTCCAGCTCACCGTTCTCTCTTGTGCCTAGTTTTGCATTGAAGTCTCCCATCAACACCGTATATTGGGTTTTGGAGGAATGCATGGCTCTGGAGATATCCTCATACATTTCCTCCTTCAATGATAAAGTTATTTGATAAGCTTTAGCTATTTTTAAATTACTAAAGCTTATCAAATAACTTTATCATTTTATCGTGTATTGGCGGTGTAAGAATTAGAGGGTAGCCGTCTTTTCCGATTTAGAGAAGAGTACCTCCATTTTAATTCCTTTTTAGGGTTCCATAACCCAAGGGTAACCAACGGGACCCTATTACTAAGCCTCCGCTCTCCGTCCGTCCATCCGGCTATCCGTATGTCTGTCAGCGGGCTGTATCTCATAATCCATAATACTACCTAGTTAGTTACATAGTACATTAGTACCATAGTTGAAATTTTCACAGAATGTGTATTTCTGTTGCTGATGTAGCAACAAATAATAAAAATTAAAATAAATTAAAAATTAAAAGTGGCTCCCCTACCAAACACTTATATTGCGATGGTACGGAACCCTTCATGCGCGTGTCTGACTCGCAATTGGCCGGTTATTTATTACAGTCATCCAAAAGCCCATTCCATTTACTTACAGATTACTACGTTTGTTAATTTCAGACATTCTTATGATTTTTTAATCACAAATTTACATCATTCCTTGATTCCTACCATTTTAAAAAAGGGTATCAATAATTTATTAATTTGTTAATGGTTAATTAGACCAAAGACTTTTTAGTATTAAATGACGGGCTTTGCGGACTTAATACATTGCACACTAATTTACGATCAATTCTCCGCAACTCCTTTAGTCTGCTGCGAGCGGGCGAGAAACTAGTTCTTTGTTTTAACATAACATAAACACTCACGCCTGTCACCCACAGGGGTAGGCAGAGACCATGGGCTTCCATTTGGCACGATCCTGACACACCTCTCTCGCCTCCTCCACATCCATATACCTACGCATACACGCTCGTCGGTTAAAGTTACTCTTGATTTAGCCCATTTTCAATATATCGCCAATTTGAACAATAAACTTTCGCCTAGGGCGACCCTTCCTGACTCTGCCGTTCACCTCTGCAACATAAATTTGCTTTGTCACTCTTTCCTCATTCATTCTTTCTACATGACCAAACCACCGAAGCATTCCTTTCTTAATCCTGGTCACAACATCATCTTGCAAACCACACTCTTCTCTTATTAAACTATTTCTCACTCTGTCATTCAGATTCATCCCTAACATACTCCTTAATGACCGCATTTCCACAGCATTTATTCTACTCTCGTGCTTCTTCATTCTTATTCTTTGTTTTCTAAGCCGTAAACGTTGTTTTTGACAATCTAATACAACTTTTTTAATGGGACTAAGAAAACGTTGACCTTACTTATGTGTGCACTTTTAAAACATAATTTGAAGACTATTTCAGTTATGTATGTACTCATAACTTTAACGTAATAAAGTTGTCGTAAATGAAAATAAAACAGCGCAGTATTTTCACCGTGCCAGCTACTTATGTACATAGAATGTAGTGTACGTAAAATGGGGTGTATGTATATAGAACGGGGGTACATAGAGGTCTTTGGAAATTACTTATGTTTGTATTCTCATTAGTCGCTCAGTCTTACCTTTCCATGATGCGTTGTGTTGTCATGACGTACTTCTGAAAGTTCAGGAGTCTCAGTGGAAACATCGTGACCGTGCCTATGTGTGCATCTGCCTGGTATCTGAAACAATAAGACATGAATCTCCATTATTATTTTATAATAATAATAGTAATTTAATTTCTCTACATAAACAATATTATAGTTATACTATTTGTTATTGTTAACGGTTCCTAAAAGTACACACATAATATTTGTTTGTTGGGGGCTGGAGTCTTAATTAGGAAAATTTTGCTTTAAAATCCTTACATATTTTAACGTGATAAGGCCATGCTACGTACGTACGTGTTATACCCCGTTTCCAGTAAAAAGGGTCTCTGGTTCTCTATACTCACCATACGAAACAGCAGCATTGAACTGCTGTTTTACGCTGTTATTCTGTGAGAGCGTAGTCCTTTCCCGATTGAGCCGACCCATTCGTGCTACAACTATACTACTAATATAGCTGCAGCATGGCTCTACCACGTATAAAATTAGGGTATTTTTTCTGTAAAAAAAAGGCCGCTATAGCATTCTCTCCTGTATCGTGGAGGCAGTTTACATACATATATTCTACAAAGAGAAACATCTAGACCTGAAATAATTATTTGAACGTCTTGCAAATAATTGTTCTGGCCGCAAGCCGCGGCCACGGGCAACTATGTACCGTATTTTAATCCAGATATAGAATCCATAAATAGGCCGGTCGGCAAGCATGAGATATAATGGGTATAGAATAAAACGTTAAATACGTTGTTTTGTGTAACAATGACTAAATACGATAAAATAATCCTTATGTAGATTTTCTATTATTACGTCTTGAGTAACTTTTGCGAAAGAAAATAAATATTGTCAACATTTGCTACGTTAATATACTCGGGTAATAAGCCTGTCAAGAACATTGTATCCACTGCGAATATTGCTTTATTTTATTTTTTAATTCGTAAACAATTTATAAGTATTGTTCGTCTCAATAATACGAGGGCCAGTATTACTACTAAATGGAGACTGGCTTCGAATCAGTGGCTACAAAAGTCTTTAATAAAGATATCTCCAGAATTAAAGAATACACTTTTATGTGTGGTAAGGTCATGATGCAGCTAAATTAATATAATATATTCTATAAAAAATATATCATAGTTGTAACACGAATGGTTTGAGAAAGGATCAGGTACTACCAGCGTAAAATAGCCCTTAATGCTAGAATCCTTGTTACTGCAAACAAGGCATGCCATCATAGTCCCTTGAGGGTGACAACGCATCTGCATTTTGATTCTTAGTCGAGGAGAGATGTGAATATCTATGGGTCACAGGATTCACTTACCATCATGTGGACTGTGTGCTTTCAGTCACCCTTATTCTATTAAATAAAACTATTATGTAACACGTAGTTTACTAACATAGTTTTTATAAGCCGATTAAAAAAAGAAGGAAAATAGCAATAATGATTTTTTATGTTATGTTACCAATTTTAATGATTTTTTAAAATTAATAAGTTGAATTATCATGGGTAGTGAGTAAAATTAAAAAAAAAAACCTAATCCTACGGGTGAAACAATATGAAATGAAATTTTAGTTAAATAGATTGATGATAGATGATATAACTTCTTATATAGACGATATTCGAGCTTTTTAAATTTTGTGGTTCACTCAAAATGGTCAAAAAATAGACATTTAATAGAAAGTATAAGTCAATCCGCATATTAGCTTCAAAAAAGAAAGAAGGGAAAGAGAGCGAGAGAGAGAGAGAGAGAGAGAGAGAGAGAGAGAGAGAGAGCTTTAATACTTAAATGCTCTTGGCATCTACTTTTGAAGCTATTAAACGAAAATTATTTTAATATTTTTAGTTTTTTGAAGTCGGCTTTTACTTTTTATTAAGAGTCTATTTTTTCCTTAATCATTTCCTAATAATGTTAAATATCATCATCATCATCATCATCGTCATTACAGCCTTTTACAAGTCCACTGCTGAACATACGTCTCCCCCAAAGAATGCCACAAAACACTGTCATCAGCCACCTGCATCCATCGACTCTATGCATGTCTTACCAGTCTCCATCTAGTGGAGGCCACACACTTCACCTACCGGTACGAGGCTGCTACTCGAGAACCTTGCTTCCCTTTTGGTTGTCGGTTCTTCGAGCTATATGTCCGACAGTTTGCCACTTCAGCTTACTAATCCCTTGGGCTATGTTAGATATATCTTAACAAATATACGTATACGTGGTAGAGTCATGCTACAGTACCAATAGTACAGTTGTAGCACGTATGGGGCGGCTCGACCGGGGAAAGACTACGCTCTCACAGAATACCAGCGAAAAATAACAGCTTAACGCTGCTGTGTTTCATTTGGTGAGTGTAGAGAACCGGAGACCCTTTTTACTGGAAAAGAGACATTCCATCTTAGTCCTCACGGCTAACATCGCAAACGAGGATAGATGTAGATGTCTATGTGCCACAACAACCACTTACTATCAGGTGGACTGTGTGCTCAATTATCACCGTCATCCTATAAAAAATATTATTTATATCTTAAAGAAATATTAAAGTATTTACGGTCAAAATGACCCACCCCAATGTCCGTATAGTAATTATCTACTTACACAAAGGCCGCGGCAAAGGTTTACGGAAAGTGTGAGAGTGATATCGAAAGAAGAGTGAATGCAGGAAACATGGTGAATGGAGCTATGCACTCCTTAATGAGTAGTCGGAAGGAGTCTAATAAGGCTCGTTTGGCTGTGCATGAGGGGGTGTTGGTTCCAACACTCATGTACGGAAGTGAAAGTTGGGTATGGCAGAAGAAACATGAAAGCAGAATAAATGCAGTTGAGATGAGAGCGTTAAGAAGTATGATAGGTGTTAAACTGGGTGACAGAATAAGAAATAGTGAAATAAGGAAACGTTGTGGTTTGAAAGAAGATGTAGTGACAAAAATTTATAAAGGTATACTGAGATGGTAAAGTGGACGAATCGAAACAAATATGTAAGGATCGTAGCAAGTGAAAAGAAGTGGTCTCTGCCTACCCCTAAGGGAAAGAGGCATGATTGTATGTATGTACCAAGGCCGCGAAAGTCTAAAACCACTTTACAATCTTAACCTGACGTAGGTTGGTTTTAGACTTTCGCGTATATCACTCTCTCGTTAAATGTTAAATTTATGTATAATAGCTGTGCCCCGAAGGGTAACCTGCATGGATTCCATGCCTTTGGGAATTCCCCAAAAACCCTCCTCCACGTCTAGGATACTCAACAAATGTTTACTTCAAATTTAAAATCTCTAGTCTCACCGGTTTAGATTGTTCTTTGACTGTTAGTCAGTCATTCACCTGCGGTAGCGATCGTTTAATTAAAAACTGCACACGCCTACTGCGCTCAGCCTTCTTTAGTAAAACTTATAATTTTTATTATATTTGACATGATAAAAGTGACAAAGTCTACAAAATTACAAAGCAAGTGCGTTGAGTTTTAAATAATATAATCCTTACTATTTTATATAAAGTTAAAATTACATCCTTTATATGTACGTCTCACAGCTGGGCACGCAACCTCTCATTTCTGAGAGGGTTTTAGGGCAGAGAAATTCGCACAGCGCTTCCTCAATGCGTGTTGGCGAAATTCACGTCTTTGAATTAATTTTTTTTCTTAATTCTCAGACATGCATGTTTGTACAATGTTTTCCTTCACTGCCGAACACGTGCTAAATCGGCACTTAAAATTGTAATTAACAATTTCATTGGTGCTGGCGGGGATCTAATTTATTATTGTGTTTGTGTTTCATATTTGTATTTAATTGTACATTTAAAAATTATATTAAATAGTCGATTTCCAATTAAAACGAATTTTATTAATTTCAGCGTTATTTAATCAGTAATCACTTTTCTATTCGTGCACACTAAACGTAGTCACTTTTCTATTCGTGCACACTAATGTGTACTGACAACTGAAGAAAAAGGAACATGCTTAAAATCCATAGACTCCATCGAGTATGATGACTTATCCAAAACTTTAGTCTTGATAGTGTTTAACTTATTAACAAATGTCAGTACACAAATGAAATTATTCTTTTTTTTTATAGGATCGGGTGACAAACGAGCACACAGTCCACCTGATGGTAAGTGGTTACTGTGACCCATAGACATCTACATCTATCCTCAATAAAGACTCAAGATGCAGATGCGTTGTCACCCGTGAGGACTAAGATGGAATGCCTCTTTGTCAATAAAAAGGGTCTCCGGTTCTCTACACTCACCATACGAAACACAGCAGCGTTAAGCTGCTATTTTACACTGGTTTTCTGTGAGAGCGTGGTCCTTCCCCGGTCGAGCCGACCCATTCGTGCTGCAACCATAATATAGCTGCAGCATGGCTCTACCACTATTCCTTTAAAGTTTGTAAAACATTCTAAAATATCGATTTTATTCATAAAATCAACGTCAGTTTAAAAAATTCTCAACTTGATCTCCCTCTCTCCTCTCTCTGCACCAAATGGCTGTAGAAAAATAAAGTTATAGAGATAATTAATGCTTAATTTAAAGCTTAAGTATTATTCAACGATTATAAGAAACGCCGTTCGTCTATAAAAAAAAATATATTTTTTTACTATTCAAAGCCAGCGCTTACCTACTAATTCACCTGTAAATAAATAGTGATGCAGCCGAAGACGGTGAAACAAAAGTCTATTCACTGTTTGCCTTGAAGACACCCAAATTGTAATCGGATGGAAAGACAGATGCTGGAAAATTATTCCACTCCTTTGTTGTATGCATGTCGAACGATATAGTAATAATATGTAACCGTTTGGTTCGAATGCGTGAAAGTCAACAACGAAAGAGTGGAAATTGACCGAGCGTCTCGTTGTCCGATGGCGGAAGGGAGAGGGAGGAATTAAGTTATGAATTTTTGCGCACCCTCTCCGACTACTTCGGCTACTTTGCGCCTGTATTCGATGTTGGTGAGATTGGTTTTAACCAGATATTTGTGATTGTAATAAAACATTAAAGAATGTTACAATATTCTTTAATATTTTAATGGAAAAAGTACGTACACTATATTTATATAGCATAAAACTTAAACAAAAATGTACTCGTATGATATAGAAGTAATATTGAAACTCTTTACATAAAGAAAGTCTTTCTTAGTCTCTCAGATAATCCAGCAAACTCTATGCTCACCAGACCATAATACAGTTAAAAAATTTCGCCTACCCTCTGTACCAGGGGAGCATAACTAACGTGTACACTGTGGGGCCTTTATCTAATGTAGCGCAAGATATTCAGTGGGCCGAATAATGCGGCGACCGCGACCTAACCGCGGCCGATAGAGGTGCAAGTGACAAGAGATATACGAGCGATTGTGTGCGAATATAGACTAAGTTGCTGACACAATTTTTGCAATAAGATCATTTATTTATTAATGCATGGGAAATTCGGTGGAATTAATATTTTAAAACAGAATATCCGTTATAGCCTATTAAAGTCCACGGCTCTAAATAGGTCTCCCCTATAGATTGCCTATTAGGGGAGGGGGGAGGGGGCGTTTGCTATAGTTGCTACGCTTGGCAAGCGGGTTGGCAACCGAATTTTTTTTTAATCGTTATTAAAACGACGCTGTTGCCCAGGTTGTTTCACTCTGTCGCTTATTATGGCACTACGAGATGATATGGAGAAGTGGATATTCTTACACCGCCACTCTACGGTACAAAAGCGTTATAATTGCATGATTAGTATGAACAGAATTTCTAAGTAATGCAAACTGGTGGAAAGACTTATGTAGTGCATTTAAACAGTGGCGAAGCTACGGCTCCAAACTAGGGCAAGCTCAAGATATGGTTTTATTGTTTTTAGTAGTTCTTACTTTTGCAAAAAATGATTAATTATTTACGAGCTTAAAAAAGTTCTTAGACCACCGCCTATTCTACGTAGTTAGGTAAAAGTATCGCAACTGTTCCCGAGACATTATATTCACTTCTTCAATAACTAGCGCCTAAATATTCTATCCATATTTACATACATTAAATTATGTTTGGGAAAGTTTATATAGTAAGTATATTGGTTTTATAGACATATAAACAAATATATTGAGGTTGCCTTGAATTTCTGAAATGTTAATTACACTTTCAATATTTAATGAACTGTGTAGCCACCATAACAGGCGTGAAAACCAACTTCCTGGTGCAAGACTCCTATTGGAAATTTCTTGAACGAATAACTCAATAACTGATTTTTGTTTTGAACCGGAATTCGAATACGCAGGACCTTACGATCAACAGTCGTAATTACGACCACCTGTCCAACGATGCAGTTAGGTTAAATCACACGAAACTCAGATGATAGGGGGCTACTGTGGACCAGTGGACACCGGCAACCAACTTCAAATAAAGAAAGCTACAGATTCGTTGTCACCTCTGTTATGCTTTAAGAAAAATGTCCCTCTGGGTTTCTCGCTAGTTCTTCCCAGGACAGAGGTTTGTTTGCGAACCAGTGGTAAAAGTTAAAAATTACTTTAAAATATAAATAAACGTATTAAATATTGAACAAAAATTTTGCTTTTCTATTCTTAAACATCTTATACACGGTCCATCTTGACGTATGCCCCGCCAAGGTCATGCACGATGCACGATGCAAAACAATAACGAGTAGGCTTGACGTACAGCAATGACGTACGTCAAGTGACGTACGTCATTGCTGTAAGTCAAACCTTACATATATATATAGGTCAAGATTTATAGCCTTCAATAATATTGGCTGTTTATACTCTTCAAACTGGGATACAAGAGTACATGCAGTGCTGCTGGGTAGCGAAAATAGGTAAGAGGGTAGTACATACCCTGACAGACCTCAAGAGGCAAAAGAATTTCTACCACATAGAACTCCTTACTGTAGTTAGAACGTCTGTGAATAACAATTCTCGTAAAAAGGTAGTAGCCGATTTCTTAACAGACACCTTGTCTCTGTTGAATTATAAAATGGAATGCTTTATAGCCTTGTAATATTGGCTTTCTATACTCTCCAGACTGGAATACATCAGTACACGCATTCCTGATTGACGTCAGAAATGGGAAAGAAGATATTACTTTCGCAGACGGACTTCAAGGCAGAAAAGAAGCAATGCCACAGAAAACTCCGTACTGTTGTTATAATTTTTTTAGAGTGGTAATTCTCTATCCTTAAAGAAGGGGAGCCGATCTTTTTAGCTATTCGCGAATAATCACATCGCAATTTAGCTGCTACTTCACTTTTTTTATGATGAATAAGAAAAATTTCGAAGGTAATGTGCTTAACATTACCTTCGAAATTTTTCTTATTCATCATAAAAAAAAAACTTTAATAGTGTTTATTATTTCCTTTAAGAGAAATATAAGCTAAGAGCACGAACATATTTTCAGAGAGTAAATCGTAAAATTATACAACGACTCACCGTAAGACTTTAACACAATGCTAGCTGCAATAAACAGATGACGATCTGTAAAAACCAACCACGAAACACCGCTTATATTATGCATGCGAATCTTAATCTACAACTCCTTCACTCCTATTTTAATGGACTTTCAATGAAATTCCGCAAATTAATCCTTGATCTATTGAATATTTTGTGTGGTTATACAGTAAAATTACCCTCAATCAACAAATGCTAATGCATAAAAATACATAATATTTTACATTTTTTAGTAAAGCACTAACAGATTTTCCTTCATATGTTTTTCATCATCAGTTTATGTTTTGCCGCTCCACCTCCTATATGTTTATCTCTGCTTAGTCTAATGGTTAACTGGGATAGAATGGCTTAAGGCATTAAGTCCGTCATAGGAACATTTTTTTTGTGTTTGTGTGGTTAGTGATATTTAAATGTCTTCATATTACACTATATTTATGGTCACTAGTATCTTCTGCACAAAGTTTTACAGACGAATGTTTTGTAAAGTAAAATAATAACAGTAATGACCTTCACACCGAGTTTCGGTCACGGTGTTCATTTTCAACGGAGACTAGCCACTACGCAGGACAAAATTAAAATGCCCGAGTTCATGCGCAAGTACAGGTGCACTCTCTATTCTCTCAGGCTCATAGTCCGATAGGACAATAATGCGATGCTACGGGAGGAAAATCAGGCATATAACGGATTTACGTGCTTTCCGAGGCATGAGATGAAACACCGCCAACTTTCAAACTATGGCTGGCTTTTTTGGTTCGACCCGGGATTCGAATACGCGTCCTCATGATTTACAGCCGCGTTTACAACCACTAGACCCATGAAGGCAGCCTCGTACCAATAAGTAAAATGTAGGATGTTGCCCTTTCTCCCTAGATAGAGTGACGTAGGTCGTCACTCTTTGGACGAGGCCTTGACAGAGATCTCGTACAAAGGAGGAGGCCTTTGTTCAGCAGTGGACCAGTGATAGACTTTAATGATGATGATAGGTATATTAGTCTTTGGGATATCCTCTTCAGTATTTTCAATAGTGTTGCCAAAGAGTATATAATCACTACGTTTTACATGAGCGTTGCTATGGATATTTCATTTGATATCCATGGCAACGATTGTTAAGTCAATAATAAAACAAGTTTTCAGAACCAACCATATTATAACGAAACGAAAAAATGGTTATATTCCTTGTTAAAAGAGGAGACGAGAATCAATTTCTCTATGAGACGAATGTTAATAAGGCAGTGGATGATGTGGTTAAAGATATAACTGCAATATTCAATGGAAGGCTTAAAGTTAATCGTATTTGTTACGAGATGGAAGAGCTGCAAAAACATGGAACGTTCCTGCCTCTTGAGATGCAAGGGTTGACTGAAGAACAGGTAAGTTACACAAATGCTAATGCATGAAAATACGTAATATTTTACATTTTTTAGTAAAGGTCATCAGCACTGACAGATTTGCCTTCATATGTTTTTCATTATTAGTTTATTTTTTGCTGCAATACCTCCCATATGTTTATCTCTGCATAGTCTAATGGTTAACTGGGATAGAATCCCTTAAGGTGTTAAGTCCGTCATATGTACTATTTTTTGTGCATAAAGGTTTAAATAAAACAAGTCTCATTAATTATATGATGCAATAAGAAGATCAAAGTAGTTAGTAATATTTCAACGTCTATTACACTATATTATTTGGTCACTAGTGTCTACTGTACAAAGTTTTACAGACGAATGTTTTGTAAAGTAAAATAATGATAATTGTAAACATGCCACATGCAAAAAAGCACAGTCCTGATCTATCGGCGTCCATCTACTTTCTGCATCTGTTGCCAGGTTGTCATTACATCTAGTGGAGGACCGCCCAACTCCTCGCTCACTGGTACGAGACAAACTCGAGATTTTTTTTTATCGTTTTTATACTGTCTTTATTAATTAGATGTATGCCTGTGGCTTATGGTCCAAGTGTTCTGTGATACTACTTGGGGGAGGCCTATGTTTAGCAGTGAACTTGTAAAGGACTGTTACTACAATGATGGTGACATTCGTTAACAGCTTCTTAATGTCCATAATATTTTATTTATTCTAGCTTTTTAAAGTACAAAGTGTATATATTTTTTCAACTTATCTACCAGGTGATTTGTAGGGTACTATGAAGTAATAAAATATCTGCAAGTATCAGTAAGCTGATGTAGCAATGGGCCGGCCATATAGCTCAAAGAACCGACAACTAATACGTAAGAACGGTTCTCGAATGGCAACCTTGTAACGGTAAGCGAAGTATGGGGTGGCTCTTCACTAGATGGAGTGGCGACCTAGTAAGTGATGCAGTCGATAGATTCAGGTGGCCCATGACCGTGCTTTGTGGTATTCTTTGGGGGAGACCTATGATCAGCAACAAAATTGTGAATATCTGTAATGTAGGAACGAATTAATTTAGTGAATTAATTGATTAAGTGGTTACTGTGGCCCATAGACATCTATATCTATCTTCGATTAAGAATCAAAATGCAGATGCGTTGTCACCCGTGAGGACTAAGATGGAATGCCTCTTTTCCAGTAAAAGTCTCCGGGTCTCCGGTTCTCTACACTCACCATATAAACACAGCAGCGTTAAGCTGCTATTTTACGCTGGTATTCTGTGAGAGCGTGGTCCTTCCCCGGTCGAACCGACCCATTCGTGCTACAACTATACTATTAATATAGCTGCAGCATGGCTCCACCACGTAAAATTAAATAAAAACTAAAATGTTTTAGTTTTACTATATTAGACTGAATAATCGGAAAAAGAAATACCATATACGAAACATGATACGAAACAAAATTATTATTCCAACTTGTGCTCGTTTTATACCGTAGTAACAAAATATATTTTTATTGGTATTTGAATATAGATGCCGTTGATAATATGTTCCTCTATTTTCATAACAGTAGTTTTACTATTATATTTTTAAGGTTATGGAAGGAACTTTAACCTCCGTATTCCATATAAACTAGCACACAGGTTAACACACTTTTAAAGCATTGAACGAAGCATTAAATTCACAAAAAGGAGTTTTTTTTTTTTAGCAACAAAGATTAGACCATTTATCTCGCTTTATCCAAAAAACTATAAGTAGCAAAACAGAGGAACCAATTACAACACACGTTCTTACAGATAAAAGAGCTGAAACTTGAAGATCCTTGGGCGAAGCGGTGCGCGCCTCAAGATTACGTCGTACAAAAGGATGAAATGGGACGCCGCTGCGGCTTTGCACCGCCGTCTCATTTGCAAGAAGTCTTGAAAAGGGCCATGGAAACAGCGAAGGGGATAATAAGTAAAAAACGTGTACGTTAAAGTTTGTAGTAAAACAGTACAGAAAGTCAAAGTACCATAACAACACAACTCAACAAATATTATAATAAACTAGCTATCCGCCAATACACAGGCATACACAGCATCTACTTACCATGGCGTGTTGTTTGTCACCCTTTCTTGTATTATTATAAACAAATTGGCGTATAGTAGCTGCGATAGTACGCGCTCGCTGTTAATTTCACAGTACGCGCGCAACCCGGGTTCGATTCCCGCCGGCACCAATGAAATTGTTAATTGCAATTTTAAATGCTGATTTACCACGTGCTCGGCGGTGAAGGAAAGCATCGTTAGGAGACCTGCATGTCTGAGCAATAAGAAAATAAAATTCGAAGACATGTGAAGTTCGCCAACACGCATTAGGGCACCGTGGTGGATATTTCCTTGTCCTAAAACCCTCTCAGATATGAGAGGAGGCCTGTGCCCAGCAGTGGGAGTTAGTGGGAGTGTAACTACGAGTATTACTAAGAGTTAACCTTGATTAGGTTTAAATATTTGTACTCTCTACTTAAGGCGAATGAACAATCACAATTCTAGAAGTGTGAATATTTTTTTTTAAATATTTGAAATGCTTAGTAGTAGTCCACGACTATACTGCCTTTGGGCAATTTGGTAATCTTATATTTGCCTTAGAATCGTTTTTACCTTTTTTAGCCGACTTCAAAAAGGAGGAAGTTCTCATTAAAAGTATTTTTTTTAAAACGTTACCCCCACCCTTGGATTTTCTCCTGTATCGTGGAGGCAGTTTACAAACACAAATTGTACAAGGATAAACATCCAAACCCGGAACAATTATTTGTAGGCCATACAAGTACTTGTTCCGTGCGGGATTAGAACTCGCGGCTCCCAGCGCAGCAACTCATTGCTAAGTCACTGCGCCACGGAGCTGTGATGCCGTGATTGTATGTTTTTTGCATGTATGATACGCGATATCTTCGCAGATTGTGAACAAATTTTGATGGTTCTTAAATTAATTCTACTTTATTAAATAGGTTGTACTTCAAGGATCTGCCCATATAAATATTGAGAAAAGAATTCACTCCTAAGAGTAACAAATAAATAACGCCTTATTTAGCAATATAAGTCAGTTTTTATTTTTTGTTAAAAGTTATAATTATTATAGAGTGAGAGTTACAAACGAACACAATCTACTTGATGGTAAGTAGATACTATGGCCCATAGATATCTACGAGTATATGTATCCTCGGTTAAGAATCAAAATGCAGCTATATGTTGTCACCCCTGAGGACTAAGTTGAAAGGCTATTTTTACGCTGGTATTTAAAAACTGCATCTCTAAGATAATTGATAGAATCAGGCGTTTCTTTGCGGAAATCCATTATAATGGGGTTGTTATAAATCCATTATAATGGCCGCTAGGTCGCGGCCAGCCTTCAGATTGAGGGAGCCCCTTAAAACTGGACAGGACTCATCATTTTCTTTCTTTACGCGGAATTAAGCAAATTAAATTATAACAACCCCATTAACTGCATCTCTGAGAAATGCATATTTTTGACGATGTTTTATTTCACCATTGAAAATGTTGTAGTAATTCTACACGTAAATATTTGCATTTTGTGTCGGCAAAGATCCGAATCTGGTTGTTCACTTTTCATAAAGTTTAAGGTAAACTTTGTTTTATATAGGATAGGGTGACAAACGAACACACAGTCCACCTGATGGTAAGTAGTTTCTGTGGCCCATTGACATCTACACATCTATCCTCATTTGCGAATCAAAATGCAGATGTGTTGTCACCTGTGAGGACTAAGATGGAATGCCTTTTTTCCAGTAAAAGTCTCCGGGTCTCCGGTTCTCTACACTCACCATACGAAACACAGCAGCGTTTAGCTTGCTATTTTACGCTGGTATTCTGTGAGAGCGTAGTCCTTCCCCGGTCGAGCCGACCCATTCGTGCTAAAACTATACTACTAATATAGCTGCAGCATGGTCTACCACGTTGGCCAACTTCCGGATCTTTCCTTATATTGTTTTAATGTATTTTTTTTAATATATATATTACATTATACATTAATGTATAATTAATGTATAATGTAATATATATATTTAAAAAATCATGAAATAGGTTGATCTTCGTGAATGCCTAACGCAAAAGGACGTAGCAAGAGCACTCGACGAACTCCGAGGGGCAACGAAAATTGTATTTCCTGCTGGTCTTCCACCACATGACCCGGTTCGAATGGAGCTCGAAAACGTCGAGGATCTAACTGGAACCCAAGCTGCTAATGAAGTAATAGATCCCTCTAGAGCATGTCTCTGGGCTTTTGGAAAGAAATTTATAAATGGAAACAAGCTAAGTGACCACTTAGGTAATTAACTTGGCATAGTTCTTATTTCAATGTTTTCATTGACTTGGTTTGCTGTGTAATAGCATCATAAAAGAATCTCTCTAGTTTAATTCCATTAGTAACGTTAAAAATTACTATGAGAATGATCAGAAAGAGATCAGAGATGGGTCAGAGAGTCAGGGTTCATAGCGTTCGGGAAGGTTTACTATAGAGTGTTAAAGGTTTTTTTTTTTTATATAGGATAAGGGTAACAAACGAGCACAGTCCACCTGATGGTAAGTGGTTGCTGTGGCCCATAAGCATCTACATATATCCTCGTTTGCGAATCAAAATGCAGATGTGTTGTCACCCGTGAGGACTAAGATGGAATGCCTCTTTTCCAATAAAAAGGGCTCCGGTTCTCTACACTCACCATACGAAACATAGCAGTGTTAAGTTGCTATTTTACGCTGGTGTTCTGTGAATGCGTGGTCCTTCCCCGGTCAAGTCGACCCATTTGTGCTACAACTATACTACTAATATAGTTGCGGCGTGGTTCTACCACGTCTATGATGCAAAGTGCAAAATATCTCATATAATGATCACTAACCCGACCGCTAAGCGTGATGAATATGACAAACCCTTCCTGTATAACGTGGAATGGGTGAGGTTCTTTACCAAATAGTGAATAAAATTGACTGATTTAGTATTTTTGTGAGAGAAATGGAGCCTTTGCAGCACCACATCACTCATATAATCAGAATTTTTTGTCTGTGTTCTCTTATTAACTTCCTTCTGCGTAGCATTGAAAGGAAGTTAATGGTTTTAGCTGGCAGTCTGTTAGTCTGTATGCCGACACGATAACTTCCGTTCTACTGGACCGATTGACTTTAAATTTGGTATGTAGATACCTTGAGGTATTTGGGTCCTGTAGGTCAAAGGGCACCAGAGATATGGGATACACGCAGAAGGAAGTTGTTTTTCTTGAATTTACATTCAACTCGTTTATTCTTACCTTTGTTTTTTTGTTTTAAGTTAAAGTTACAGCCAATGTACGTCCCACGCCGAGCACAGGTCTCATCTCATTTCTGAGAGGGGTTTTTAAGTAATGTTTTTTTTAATTCTATATCGAGTCTGTACGAGTGTGAGTTGCTGAAATGCTTGTATGTATTGTCTATTGCCAATTTGTCTGCCTCGCAGCCTAGTGCATGATAACGGACATAACTTAAAAATATTTTTAGTTCCTGGTCATGCAGGCTTATTTCACTCCCGAGCATGTGGTGAATCAGCACGCAGCAGTTGCTAATTATTGCTACTGCTTAGTCCTCAAGCTATCACGGTTCTTGGAATGGAAAGTCTTGGTGACAAATAATAAGCTGCTTCAGTGCCGCTTAAGTGATCTTCAGATTTTTTCGAAAATATTTCATTCTCACGACGTTTCCCTTAATTGACGAGTTTTAATTAATATTTTCAGTAGTGCTGGTGGTGATGAAACCCTGATAACTCCCGCAGTCGTAAAGCTGAAATGACTTTCAGTAACTACTCCTGTAATCTATATCGTTAGAGCCTATTAAAGTCCACTGATGAACAAAGGCCTTCCCCATAGATTGCCTCATGCAAAAGTTGCCACTCTTGGTAACCTAGCTGGTAACCACAGCTTTTTTAGTTGTTATTAGGAAGACGCTGCAGCCCATCTCCTGAGTTGTATCCCTCTGTTGCCTCTTACGACACCTACGGGATGATATGGGGTAGTAGATATTCTTACACCGTCACTAATCGGTAAATAATTGTTATTTATATTGTTAAATGAAACCAAAAGGAAGAGGTTAAAAAAATGAAGGTAGCCGGGCTGACTATGACATCGGGACATCAAACACCTCAGTCCTTGTCCATGGGTGCTGTAAAGCACCCGAAACGTCGGGAATTAAAAAGTTAAATTAAACACGATAAAATACGTAAAAAATAGTTTTATTTAATGTGTAGTCTTCGCGTAAATATAAGAAATCATTATCTATATTCATCGATCACTAATAAAAAACTAGATGCACAATCCCATACAAAAGTTCTCTAAAAACTGTCGCCAAAAGTTTTGTTGCAATTATAGTTGATATAAATATACATTAATGTAAATTCAACCTTAAATGCATTGCCTAAAGTTGAATTGAGAAAGCCACGTACAAAAAGCAATAAAATTTTACGACCGAGGCTCGTCGCTTGGACAAGGAGAGTGGAGTCGAACTGCACAATATTTTGTTACTGTAATTTTAATTTTATAATTTTGTTAAACTTGTTGTAAATAATTGGTCTACTTAATAAAGCTATTAAGTAGACCACTATTCTATGGTGTATTTATGTAATGGTTATATTTTTACCTGAATTTAAATATGCTTTTGGATAGGGCTCCATTACCATGACATTACGTATTTATTCTTTATATTTTTTAAAGATATTGCTTGATAAACAACTTAAATCTAAATATAATAGTTACTAAATATAAAAAAATAAGTAGTAAAGTTCTTGCAAAATTTAAGAATATTATTGTCCAAATTTTTGACGTAATGTCTGAATGATTTCTTATATTTACGCGTTCACTACACATTTAAAATAAAACTTATTTTACAGATTTTATCGCGTATATTAACTTATTTTATATTCCCGACGTTTCGAGTACTAAGTATAATATTTATAGAAACAGGAAAGAATTCCATCCTTTTTTAGCGTCCTGGATGTGTGATTTTTACACTTTTTAAACGAGCACTGAGGCATGTTAACTGTCGGAGCATTTGAATGCTACTAGATTAAAAGTGCACCCATATGTTCGAGTGGGTGCACATTCGGTTAAGCCATTTTTTGTCACTGATTGTGTATCTAGCTTTTTAATAGTGATCGATTAATGAGTGATGAGTGATTGAGTGATTCGACAAGCACCGAAAATAAGCTAAATAAATACATAATAAAATATTTATTATGTATTTACTTAGCTTATTTTCGGCAAGCACCTAGCCCCTGAGCTACCACTGTTTATTTTATTGCATCAATGTTTGAATGTAAACAATTAAGACAACGTGTATAGATTTACTCGTATCAACTAGCAATGGTGTTTTAAAGGTATTTTCATAATTTTAGGCAAAAATGACAAAACCAAGGTTACAGTAAAACTCTGTTCCAACTCTGAGGGAGCTCCTGGTAGAGAGCCGATTATGACTGAAGATGAACGGAAGCAGTTGATGCTTCATGCATATAGGAAACAGGAAGAGTGGAAGAAACTAGAACAAGATGACGATGATAGTTACCTAGATTCCAAATGGGCTGACGGAAAGGACCTCAAGAGACAGTTTCATGGATTGAACGATATCGCATGGAAACCGGGAATGAAGAAATGTTAGTTTAAAGTGTACATTTGATTTAAAAAAATAAAATAAAATAATATAGCAGAGTATCCTTTCTATTACGTATGCTTCCATGGTAGTATAAAACATACAGAGTCATTTTTCAAAGAATTGCCAAATTTTAAACTTAACTTCAAATATATAAATAATAATGTACCGTTATTGCAGTTTTTGAAAATACGAATAAATATGGCTTCTAATTTTATTTAAAATTATCCGAATTGAATGTGATTTATGAGCAACAACGTTTTCGCCTACCGATCGACCCTTACGAATGTGTGCGTGCGCAGTAAAATTATCATTGCCATGCATTTTGAATTTAAAAAGGACAGTCTGTTTGAGAGTTTTTTCACCATTTGCCTATATTACTTAAGCTTCTCTGCTAATTTGTCCGGTTATTGCAAAATAGCCCTATACATGTATAGTGCTTTACTTTTTAGCAGACTTCAATAAAGCAGAAGGTATGTTACGCGATATATTCGTCAATTGAGAACCGAATTTGATGACTCTTTACATTTACACACACACTTAACAACTATCCTTACAGGCTAAACAAACCCACTACAATAGTGTCGCTAATCTACTTAAATATACTATGTATTACAACTAACTTTTTTTTATAGAAGAGGGGGCAAACGAGCATGCGGCTCACCTGATGGTAAGTGACTACCGCCGCCCATGAACAACCGCAACACCAGGGGAATTGCAGATGCGTTGCCGGCCTTTTAGAAAGGTGTAAGCTCTTTTCTTGAAGGTTCCTAAGTCGTATCGGTCCGGAAAATTCGCTGGTGGTAATTTATTCCACAAGGAAGTTGTGCTAGGGAGAAACTTCTTCTAAATCGCACAGTGGTGGACCGCCAATCATCCAGATGGTATGGATGGTAACGCGAGTTTTGTCGCGATGTGCGATGGTGAAATTGAGCGGCTGGAATTGGTCTGAACAATTCCTCAGAGCACTCCCCGTGATAGATGCGATAAAATACGCAAAGAGATGCAACATCTTTACGCAGTACCAGTGTATCGAGCTGATCAGAAAGAATTCGGTCGTCGACGATTCGAACCGCTCTGCGCTGGATGCGGTCAAGTAGAAGGAGCTGGCACTGGGGTGCCCCGGCCCAGAGATGAGAACATTATTCCATGTGGGGCCGAACTTGCGCTTTGTAAAGTTGCAAGCGTTGTGACAGCATGAAATACTGTCTCGGTCTGCTGAGCACGCCAAGCTTTTTAGAGGCCAATTTGGCCTTCCCTTCCAAGTGACCGCGAAACTGCACACTATTCGATATGTCGACGCCAAGGATTCCGATACTAGCTGAGGCAGCAAGGGGAATGCCTTGAAATTGAGAAGATACGACAAAGGGGTTCTTTTTAGCGGTAAAAGCGCAAATTTGTGTCTTCTGGGGATTGAACTGGACTAGATTTAGTCAGCCCCAATCCGAGACTTTGTTAAGCAAAGACTCGCCTTCAGACACAAGTTTGTCCCGGTACTCAGCGACGTTTTCCCGAGAAATATTGGCACGGCCGGTATATAAGGCATCACCAGTGCTGTCGTCCGCATAGCAATGAATGCTACCAGTTAGCAACATATCATTGATATGCAGGAGAAACAGCGTTGGTGATAGCACGCAGCCTTGTGGAACACCGTTCCACAGCCTCGCTACGCATCCTTGCACCGCTCAGCGGCCTGCCACATCTCTGGTGAATATGTTCATACCGTTCCACAGCCTCGCTACTCATCCTCGCACCACTCAGCGGCCTGCCACATCTCTGGTGAAAATGCTCATACCGTTCCACAGCCTCGCTATGCATCCTTGCACTTCCTAGCTACCTTGCACATCTCTAGTGGAAACGCTCACACCGTTCCACAGCCTCACTACGCACCTCGCACATCTCTAGTGGAAACGTTCACACCGTTCCACAGCCGCGCTACGCAACCTCGCACCACTCAGCGGCCTAGCACATTTGTCGTGGAAACGCTCACACCGTTCCACAGCCTCACTACACACCCTCACACCGCTTAGCGGCCTGCCACATCTCTGGTGAAAATGCTCATACTGTTCCACAGCCTCGCTACACATCCTTGCACTTCCTAGCTACCTCGCACATCTCTAGTGGAAACGCTCACGCCGTTCAACAGCCTCGCTGCGCAAACTCGCACCACTCAGCGGCCTAGCACATCTGTGGTGGAAACGCTCACACCGTTCCACAGCCTCGCTACGCAACCTCGCACCACTCAGCGGCCTAGCACATCTCTAGTGGAAATGCTCATACCGCTCCACAGCCTCGCTATGCATCCTTGCACTTTCTAGCTACCTCGCACATCTCAAGTGGAAACGCTCACACCGTTCCACAGCCTCGCTACGCATCCTTGCACTGCCTAGCTACCTCGCACATCTCTAGTGGAAACGCTCACACCGTTCCACAGCCGCGCTACGCAACCTCGCACCACTCAGCGGCCTAGCACATTTGTGGTGGAAACGCTCACACCGTTCCACAGCCTCACTACACACCCTCACACCGCTCAGCGGCCTGCCACATCTCTGGTGAAAATGCTCATACTGTTCCACAGCCTCACTACGCATCCTTGCACTGCCTAGCTACCTCGCACATCTCTAGTGGAAACGCTCACACCGTTCCACAGCCGCGCTACGCAACCTCGCACCACTCAGCGGCCTAGCACATTTGTGGTGGAAACGCTCACACCGTTCCACAGCCTCACTATGCATCCTTGCACTTTCTAGCTACCTCGCACATCTCTAGTGGAAACGCTCACACCGTTCCACAGCCTCGCTACGCATCCTTGCACTGCCTAGCTACCTCGCACATCTCTAGTGGGAACGCTCACACCGTTCCACAGCCGCGCTACGCAACCTCGCACCACTCAGCGGCCTAGCACATTTGTGGTGGAAACGCTCACACCGTTCCACAGCCTCGCTACGCAACCTCGCACCACTCAGCGGCCTAGCACATTTGTGGTGGAAACGCTCACACCGTTCCACAGCCGCGCTACGCAACCTCGCACCACTCAGCGGCCTAGCACATTTGTGGTGGAAATGCTCACACCGTTCCACAGCCTCACTACACACCCTCACACCGCTCAGCGGCCTGCCACATCTCTGGTGAAAATGCTCATACTGTTCCACAGCCTCGCTACACATTCTTGCACTTCCTAGCTACCTCGCGCATCTCTAGTGGAAACGCTCACGCCGTTCAACAGCCTCGCTGCGCAACCTCGCACCACTCAGCGGCCTAGCACATCTGTGGTGGAAACGCTCACACCGTTCCACAGCCTCGCTACGCAAACTCGCACCACTCAACAGCCTGCCACATCTCTGGTGAAAATGCTCATACCGTTCCACAGCCTCGCTATGCATCCTTGCACTTTCTAGCTACCTCGCACATCTCTAGTGGAAACGCTCACACCGTTCCACAGCCTCGCTACGCATCCTTGCACTGCCTAGCTACCTCGCACATCTCTGGTAGAAAGAAACGCAGCCTAAGACAGTTTTAACAGTGGTAGAGCCACGCGGCGGCTTTTGCATGTCGCACGGATGGGCCGGCTCGAACCGGGGTGGTACCACGACCTCACAGAATACCAACGTGAAGTAGAGGTTTACCTCTGCGTTTCGCTTGGTGAGTGCAGGTGGCCGGAGGCCCTTTTTACTGGAAATGAGGCATTCCATCTTAGTCCCCACGGGTGAAAACGCATCTGCATTTTGATTCGCAAACGAGGATAGATGTAGATGTCTATGGGCCGCAGCAACAACTTACCATCAGGTGGACTGTATGCTCGTTTGTCACCCTTATCTAATAAAAAAAAATAAGAGTGGAAAAACAAGGGATAAAGTTTTAATGTATTTAGACGACATATATTGCGATATTATATTCTTCAGTCCACAGTAAAGGGTAAAAATGAACTTTTAAACTAAAGTAAAAGTCGACTTCAAGCTACTGGAAAGCTTTAATTCTATACAATATGTTCTTGCACAGACTTTAGAGCGTAAAATTATTTTATATTCTTTTTAGATGCTTGACTTCGGTTTTACTCTTTATTAAAAGTATCTTTTTTTAGTTATAGCATAAGTCCACTATGCTTCTCTAGTGACGGTTGTCAAACTGAACAAGTATTTTGTTTTTAACTTCCCGCTTTGAAAATTAATAATTTTAAAAGTAGAAAGTTTTTAAAAGTAGAAAGACTAAATCTAGTCCGATTTTAAGAATGCGAGTTTTAAGAATCGGATCTCCACGTTTTGAGGTCCTAGGAAGCCGTTCCGACTATTCCCGACTGGACGTCAGGCCGCGCGTGTGTGTGTGAGTGTAATGTGTATGCATGTATGTAAATAAAATTTTGTCGTACGATATCTTTAGAATGAATCAACCAATGAAGATGGGCGTTCGAAAGAAAAGCAATGCTTCAAGCTGATTAGATTTTCAAGTCAATCGGTCGAGCCGTTTCAAATATTTTCAAAAAATAAAAACCAAAAAACACATATTAAATAGATTTTCGATCGTTGCGCACGAAAATAAGCGAGAACTTCCAGGCCGCGACAAAGTATTTTTCTAAAAATTTTTTTCGAAAAAAAAAGATTGCGACAAACGAGGACATAGAAAACACCCGAAGATAATGCGTTGTTACACCTGACGTCAAATATGGAATGCTTCGTCCTGTAAATTATCTCCAGTTTTCCTCACCGACTACACGAATCACATCGCATTATGCTGCCTGCTGGTGCTAAGAAAACTTCTATGCTGGGAAGAACCAGCAGGAAACTCAGAGAGACTTTTTTTTAATTAAAAAACCACACAATTTACAATATAACTTTTTATACAATTATCTTGAAAACATTTAGAAACACCATGATTATCTTGAAAACATTTAGAAACACGATGATAGTGATCACCTTATTCCCAGGGGTTATTATCAGTCATGTACTCTTTAGTAGTATAATAACCCTCACTAGACAATTTTTGCTTAATAAATAATTTAAACCTTTTGATAG